TTGCTTCACTCTTGATTCCCAATCTCTCCATCTTCATCTGTCTAATAAGTTATCTGCAGGTTCTCAGTGGAGACAAGCAGCAGCTACAGAATCAGCAGCTAATTGTTATCCATGTCAAAGCATCTGTCCCAATCAACTAAGCAATAAATAAAACTTAGATAAACTGCAGCATAAAGAACAATGAAAATCTTAAGTCAACCCATTGTTTCACCATATGGTAGAAACAGTTCAAATGCACATTAATGAACCAGCAGATGTTCAAAACTGCAGAGCTGTCAGTCATTCCATACTTGGTTCTACAACTTCTCTCCATCTGGAAGGTAGTTTGGTGTGTGTGCAGGACCTGGTTAAAGATGAAGACCAGGCTGCTGTCTTACCCACACAGGCTTCTTTCATTCATTCAAATTACATTAAAATGACAGTTAGGTCATTTTAATGTAATGTTTTAATGTCATGTTTAATGTCATTTAATTACATTAAAATGACCTAATTACATAAAATTACATGACCTAAAACCTAAATTGACTTTTAGGTTTTAGGTCTTGTTCCCATAACATGTTATCTTTAGAAACATTTTGTATTTGTATTTTCAAATTAGTTAACATCACACAATTTTAAAAAGTGTCCTTAGCAATACAAGAAAACTGACACCAAGCAAATACACAACTTACAATTTAGTTTTCTTCCTCATTAGAATAATGATTGGTTCTTTATTAAAAAGTTAAAATTCTGAGCTGATTCTAAAGTATTTGGTACATTAAAGTATGAGATTCTTGTTCAGATAGATATTTATTTATTTTATTTATTTATTTATTTATTTTTATTTTATTTTTCATTTAAATTTAACCAAACTAAACCCTTTCCTCATGTAGCCCCTTACCAGCAGTCATGAACTTGGTGAATAGGACAGAAGATAAACTGCCTGGGTATGCCACAAGATCTAGCACAGGTAACAAGGGTGCATAAGGTGCATCCATGTTGCATTGGCTCTGGAGTCCCCTGCTGGAGTGGAGGGGAATTGATCTTGACACCAAACTGGAAATTTGGAAGTTTTGGAAAAACGGAGCGAGTGTTTTCCCTTGGCTCTTTCTCTAATTCGGTTGTCAGTACGGATGGATAGATTAATTAAATTGTCCAGAGAGCTCCGCTGGTCTCTGCAGACTAGTTAAATGATTTGAGATCGATCTGGAATCTGCCTCAGGGCCCCAGTCCTCTCTAAGCACCTTATGATGAGCCTTAACGAGCCGCAGCTGCGGGGCCTGCACCTGCTGGTCACACCCTGGAGAGATGGATGAGGACAAAAACACTCAAACCACCGCACACATCTCTGTGGATGACAACTGTATGCCTTGTTTTGACGTTTACACCTTAAATTCTACAATATGTTTTTGTATAGCAAATTGATTTATAATATAAATACATTAGGGAACATAAGTATTTGGTAACTTTTTCGAGTTTTTCCACTTTCAAAGAATAAAGGTCAGTAATTTTCATCGTAAACCTCACCTGTGGAATCTATAAGAATGATTCAGAAAATCACATGATTTATGATTTCCATGCAAGTTCAGACCTTGTGGAGGACCAGTGATCATGAGAAAGGTCAAAGTTCAAACCAGAATTACACAGGACTGAGGTAGGACCACAGTCTCAAAGGTTGCCATAGTAACACCTTTGAGACAGTCCTGGATTCAAATCTTGCAATATTGGACATCTAGCTATAAAAGACTGAACTGCAGGAGGCTGGTTTAAGAACTATTAATCCCACAATGCATTGTGTGATGCATCATGTCAACACGAGGAAGGAACATGCTCTCTGTTGGTTCAGTGGTCACTGGTGTGTTATGCCTCCCACTAAAAAATATCTAAACAATATTCTCAATAAGCAAATAGAAAACATTCTGGTGATTCTCTCTAAACTAAAACATCAGAAGTTTGGTCAGATTAACTTCAGTGTATGTAAATATCTGGCTTCAACTGCAGATAAATTTATTAGCTTATTCTTGTTGACAAGCTTAGCATACTGACATGTATTAACTAGTTATAATGTTATCTGCATCCAACATTACTCAACTTGTTTGGGAAAAAACTGTGATAAGATTTTTTGTTTCCTTTTGCTGGCTTTCTGCCATGACTCTTAACACACACAGGTATGCAGGTCTGCTCAGCAGGAGGTCTCTGTCGCTGCCCTGGGCGTAAAACTGGCACTGGCATCCCAACGCTCATGTTGTGTTTAAAGGCAGCTCAGAAAGAAACATGTTACGACATGCTAACAATTAATTAAAACACTTGGAAAGGCTAAAAAATGTGTGGGAAAAAAGAGAGCTCAGATAAAGGTGAGTGTAGGAGGAAAAACAACAAGGCTGATTTTTTGAGTGAAAGTATCAATGAATATCAATACATTTGAAAATATGATTAAATGCAGTTATTGTGTGTGTGTTGGCTACCCAAATCACTTTTTCACACATTACAAATGAAAGGCTGTAAGTATTCATGTTTGGTGAGGCTTTGATTTTTATGAAACATAGTAATAGTCACACAGATGCCTAAAAATTTTATAGTTTATATTTTATATTGTTATCACTATAGCACCACAAAATACTGTGATAAAACTACCTCCACATGCCCACCCCTAGTGGACTGCACATCAAACTGCAGGATCATTTTAGACAATATACAAAATGTGAATGTGTATTTGTGCATCCAAAACACTTATTTACAATAAATGACAATAAAAATGTGCAAACAACAGCGTAAAAGTTATTTAAAATAAGAAAACCAGCGTAGAAACCAATATGAATGTAAACAATACGTTTATGATGGTTCTAGAATAACAGCTGTTGGGAGGAAAGATCTATGATAACTCTCTGTTATGCTCTCAGGATGCAGCAGTCTGTCTGGATGCAGCAGACTGATCCTGGGGTAAAGGTCATGAGGTCAGATGAGAACATCATTGAGCTTTGTGGTGAAGGAAACTGAATGTTATTTGTCGTGTTTGGAGGAAAAGGAAGGATGAGAGTAATCCCTAAAGCAGGATGCCAAGAGTGAAGGATGGGAGTGGAAGCATAACGCTGAGGGATGCTTCTCTGTAACCGGGGCAGGGTGACTGCACCGTGGTCCTGGAGGAACCTGGGCCATCTCCATACCTGAACCCAATAGAAAATCTCTGGAGGGAGCTGAAGCTCCATGTTGCCTAGAAACAACCCCAAAACCTGAAAGGTCTGGAGGAGAACTGTATGCAGGAGTGGACCAACACCCTACAGTGTGTGCAAACCTGATCAAGAACTACAGGAAACATCAAACCTCTGGGATTGTAAAACAAAGGTTTCTGTACCAAATATTAGGTTTTATTTTTTAATCATATCAAATTAGTTATTTCATGCAAAAAAAATGGTGATTAATGGTTTTAAAATCATATGCTTTCATCGTTGATAAAAATTACAAACCTCTCCATTCTTTGTAGGTGGTGAAAGATGAAAAATCGCCTTTTGAATCTGAGTTTAAAGGAGACTTTCAGATTGCATCAACATTGAACAAACAGAAACTTTTGTTTTTTTTGGACACATCCATACACTAAAATAAATAGCTAAGGATCCTAAATCCTATAATTAATCAAACAAAAAGTCTCAGCCTCATTCAACTCTCCAACATAAATACAAATCGACTTTCCACCAACACGATCCAAGGAGCAGGCTGCAGAACAGGCAGATTAGAGATGGGTGACAAACGAACAAAGAAGCCACAACGATCCGCTGGGCCATTTAAACATTCTGCAGCTCTGACTGCTAACATGCTCCAGGAAGGATGGAACACCATCCTATCATTCCTCTCCTCTTATCTCACTCAATTCCTCTTCACGTATGAGCATCATATGTCACACGCCCTGCGATTTCTGCTAAACCATATCAACAGACATCTGACAGCAGCTTGTTGTGTTCAAACATAGATTTTTACTCTGAGTCTGGGTTTAGATTGTGGATTTTTACTAGTTAAACAAAGGAGGATAAAATTCATCCTGCTTTAAGCCCTGGGTTTTCACACCAAAGCAAGGAGGGAAAAATGAGAAAGGAATCAAAATTTAAAAAAAAAACAAGAAACAAACTGGTAACAGAAAGATTAATAAAATGTAAACCTATAAATTATGTTTTTCTGCTTTGGTTCACCATTTCCGCTGCGTTTGTATGCATCATGGTCCCAGCCTCCATGAAGAAGAACAGATTTTACATATTATGCTGAGAAACAATAAAAAATAAAAATAAGAAAATAACAATAACAGCACTGTTTAGATTTTGATCTTTTCCAAGAAAAATCAAATAACATGTCATATCTTCAATTTACAAAAATTCCAAAGATTTTAGTAAATTTTCATGAAATCAGGATGAACTGAAGACGTCTCAATGGCAGAGTTCCTACAAATTTACCATGTTAAGATTCCAGATTCAGATTTCAATGTCTGCCCAATGTAAAATGCAATAAGTCAAAATGAATCTATTTATTGAGTCATTCAGCTTTAAATAAGTGATCAATACTGTAATAAACAAACAAACAAACTGAACATTTACAGGCTGAGATTTAGGATGGAGAACAAAAAGTATGAAGGACATGAAAGAGTGAAGAAGAACACAAGGAAGAAACAAACAAACCTCTAGATAACTAGATATGTAAAACAGTGTGAAAATACACACATTCTCTATACACAGCTTTCTTTTTCCATATTTATCCATGCTAGAAATGAGATTGTCTGATTAATTTCCAATTACATTCTCCATTGTTAGATTTTTTTTTGCATCGAGAAAAAAATAAATAAATGCTAAATGATCTGTTTTTGTTGGGATGTCACGATGAGAATCGTCTCTGTTTGTAGCGGGTCATTCCAGCACAGCGGGGCCACCGGAGCGCACCTGACTGATTCTCACACTTTCAGGTTTAAACTAAAACCCGTCACTTATTTCCACCAACTCTCCCTCTGCTTGTTAAACCGAATAAAAAGGTTTTGTACTCACCGCTGAAGTTCCAGTGAGGCTGAAAGCCTCCAACTTCACTGCTTTCATTAATCATGTTTCATGGCAAAGAGCGAAAGCCAAGTTTTCCACTCAGGCTCCTGCCGCCTCGACCCTCCGCTGGAATCAGAACCGAAGTTTGAACTTTTTTCTCCTTCCTGGAGCTTGATTCTGTATCAGTCCGAGTCTTTGTTAACATCTAATTAGGATTGCAGTGATTTGAGCTCCATACCATCCAGGCGCACAGCTCCGCTCCTCACCGCGCCGCGCCGCGCTGCGCTCTCTGGAAGGAGCAGCAGAGAGATAGAGAGACTTATGATGTCATTTTCTTCAGCCAATCCTTCATGACTCACTGTTTGGATATTAGAACTCTCATTTATACAGATGCTTCCCCAAATCTTCCCGACATTCATGCACAAACTCCGGGGAATCGTCTATCCATCCTCTCGGTTGTTTTACCCAGCATTTACAGCAAACTACGACTAGAACGCAGTTTTCTACCAAATCACAGCAGATTTTCATATTCTCTCACCCCTCTGGCAATCAAATTCAATCTCCTGTCAGGCAAACGCAGGCGAAACCCTGAGGCTGGGGGAGGAAAGTTGGAGTGTGCTTTTGTCACTTTAAAAGTGAAGCAAACATTTTTAGATCAGGAAGAGGCGCTTTTTAAAAACTGGGAGATTATATATCACGGCAAATTAGGGACAGTGTAAATAAGAACAAAAGGAGGAGAAATGTCCACTAAGAAACTCAGAAAATGTTGTGATTAATCTCAGAAATTTTGTAGAAAAAAATGGAAATTTCTGAGTTAAAAAAGTCAAACATTTCCCACTTTTGAAACTGAATTTATTTTTCTAGAAATAAATTCTAGAAAAATACAAAATTTCTGTGTTTTGATGGATAGGATGGATAGACGATTCCCCGGACTTTTTCCTACCTACAGAGGCCATAATACACAGCTTCACAGCCAGAAATATATGGATTTCATTCAGTTTGATCCAATGTGCCACAATATGTAAAGAAGAAAAATCTCTGTTAATTGTTTTGTTTTATTCCGTCCATTGGACACAAAGGCATCTTTAAGTTTATCTAATTTTTGCATTTATCCATTTTTATAAAATATTATTCTTTTTTCTTGTCTCCTCATCTCTCCTGTATTGTCCTTCTCTTATAACATCTAAATATATTGATATCGTAGCTCAGGTGTTTTTTGAGCTTTGAAGATGGTAACCAGCTGTTCCCAACTGTAAAATTGTAACTTTAAAAACCAATAATAACAATTTAGAATTGCTTCTTATCAAGAATATTTCTGTTTTCTAAATGCCAGATGAAGTCAGTTGAAACTGAAAGAGGTCAGATATTCTTTTCCAGACTAAAAAGCATAGATAGATAAATAGATGAGACAGAGGCTCAGAGCAGCATGTAACCAGGTCGTCACATCATTCTGCTGGGTTCATGAAAAAGAGCAACAACCCAGATAGAAGCTACAAGTGTTTATTAATCACTCCAAAGAAACTTGAAACTGAAGTGTTTCTGAAGGACTAATTCAGAAAAATCTAGCAGAAAATAAAAATACATGAAGCACAGAGAATTTTCTGTTGAGACAAACAAAAGAGAAAAACAGAAACCTGAACAGTCAGAGCTGGTAAACAGAGAGGCAGTCATGAGAAAACCAGGAGCAAATATTAGACTTTATGAGCAAAAAGATCTGAGATTCACAGAGAAAAGTATTCACCACTTAAATGTTTTACCCTTTTGACCTTTACAAACTTGATCTCAGATGATATTAGATTCTGTTGCTCAGTGAAAAACATAGAACTTTGTTTTCAGCTTTGTGTCATTTGTAATATGCTCCTTACAAGTTTTCATTTTTAGACTAAGTTTATGTCAATTTTAGACCAAACAGTTTTCATTTATCAAAGCCGAAATGAAATCATAACGTTGAACAGAGGTTTATTTGACTCAAACAAGGTCTACTTAAAACTGATACTGAAATCAGGTGACTGGGTATATTCCAGACAGATTAATAGGAAGCAAGATTTTATTCCTCCAATATTAAGGCTGATTAGTATTTTTCAAGCATTGTGTAAAACACCTTAGAGGAGCAAACTGCTGACTTTTTTTTAAAGAGTAGCTCTTTCTTTTTCAAACATCTTCCATTCTGACTTTAAAGAGTTTAACATATTGACAGCACCTTGCATATTTTCTTAGTAACTGTACATCTTCAGTGACTTGCTTAGTTGTGGTGCTCCCCAAGGCTGAGTCCAAGGACATCTCTTAGTTTACCCTCTTCTGTATGGTCAGTGAATCCAAAATGATAGCAACCATCACAGTTTCTCTGCAGACAACACTGTTACATGTTTTGTCAGTTGAAAGAAAAACCAACAAAAGAAACATTTTGCTTCCAGTTTGCTCTTACATTGATCACTGTAATGAAACTTACAGTAAGCCTTTGTCTCCAGTAGGTTCAGAACACTGGAGCTCGACTAATTACAGAGACTAAAATGCACAAAAACATTACGCCAGTGCAGGACTGTCTGCACTGGTCTCTTTTAGGTTTCATATTGATTTTGAGATCTTGCTGCTTGGTTGAAAGCTTTAAATGGCCATGCCCTGAATAAATCAGTCCTATTGACAAACTAAGCTTCCACTTGAACTCCGAGGGCCATAGACAGAGCTCCTCTGAATATTCCCAAGGTACAATTTATGGCGATAGGAGATCAAACCATCTCCATTATAAATCTCCAATTCAGGGAAACCAATCCACTAAACATGGGCCAATTAAATCATGACCTTAAGAGCTAAGCTTGGTTCTGCTTGTGAAAGTCTTAGTACATTCTTTTTTCATCTACTTTTATTGTTCTGAATATAAACTTGGCAAAAACCATCTAGTTTCTTCTTATGCAGCGTGTCCATTACATATTTCTTCAGTTTTGCTGTTACAGCCAATGGAAAAAAGCATTTCAGAAAAAGAATATACCATAAGTTCAACATGGTGGTGGCAGTGTGATGGACTTGGACAACTTTGCTGCTTTAGAACCTGGACATAACGAAATCAAGCAAGTGTGATAAAAATAAATAAATAAATAAAAACAGAAGAAATCCATTGGGGGACAATCTTGTTTTTATGGTGCAAACAGGTCAAGGATCTAACAATGTTTTAAAGAAGATCTATTATGCAAAATTTCCTTTTTTCATGTTTTTTTTTTTTTTTTTTGTAATTCTGTTTATGTCTCTACTGCTTCTAGTCCAAGCCCTAAAACAAAACATCTGGCTGTTTGTGGCAATAAGTCTAAGTTTTTGGTGTCTGAAAAACAGCCACTTTAAAAATCTTCCCACTGCCTTAGAAATAGTTTTATTATTCTTTCCAGATTGATTGAGGTCAATGATTTTGTTTCTAATCTGATCTTAAATTTCTTTAGATTGGGGCTTTAGATTTATGTCAGACAGAGTGACCTGGTAGTCAGACCTGGGTGTGTCTAGTAGTGAAATTTAACTAAATTTTCAATAATCATCCTCTTAATTTGTAATTTTTAAAAACTAAATAATATGATTTTAAAATATGTTTGATCAGTTGAAATTTGAGTGTGACAAAAAAAAAAAAAAAAAAAAAAAAAAAAAAAAAAAAAAAAAATATACGGGGTTTTTACAAACACATCACTTTCACAA